CTTTTGCGAGTTTGATGCCATATGATGAAGTCTTTTTTAAAAGAGTAGTCAGTGAAAACATGTCTTCTGCTTGAATCAGGATGCCTCGATAATTCAACGATGTCTTAAAAGTAACTATATGTTTCAGGGACGCCTCAACCTTGCGTAGACATTTACATGGTAGCTGCCGTCTCAATGAAAATTTAACTTTAAGCGGTCTTAGCCATTAGACCTTCTGCATTGAGAATAAAACACTTACCGTTTGTAGCATTAGAATCAAAGAAATAATCCAAAATATTAGACTATTCATTTCCAGTAGCAGGAGTCAAAATCGTCAAACTTCTATCTTTGATATCTTTCGCGTACGTCATCGTGGCTTTATTATGAAGATAAATTCTGTTGTATGAATTGATTGTAATTGGTTGTTTTTATTTTGCTTCTTTTGATTTTGGATCGAAAAAGTACATTTTCGTCATAGGACCATCTTCATCACTACTTAAAAACTTCAGTGATGTAGCTAAATTCATAACTAATTTATCTGGTGTAACTGTTTCAATACACGTTGAATGGAAACTACCATCGTCAGTAAACAAAACTTTTTCAAAATATAATTCAACCCATTCAAATGCCTGACGTATTTGTTGAATATATCTAAATTTATTAGTGACCAAAAGAAAAACAAACGTAAAACACGAACATTAAAGTAAACAAACAACTGTCGTAAACGCTTCCCAAGCGATCTCATCGGACCTTTCACCATTTCCGTCACGACGGTAAAGTGTAATTCTTAGGCTTAATGATTTTAAAAAATTTGACAAGAAGCAAAAATTAAAAATTCTTTTCGGTTTTTGATATTTTGTTTACTTAGTACGTTTGATAAATTAATTTATACGATTGCTCTAAATTAATTACAGTAATACATTCTTACCAACGTATTAGTGTTAAAACATTTTTATCTAGATTTTTCACATAGATTTCTGGGTTCTTGGATTTTTCGGACTTTTGCTTCGCTGAAAACCGCCCATTGTGTCTCTTATTAATGAAGTGCTGAAATAACGGGTATAACAGAAATAAATGCACTTTTTTATTTTTGCTGTAACTTCGTCGGGTTTTATCCGTTCAACTTAATTTTTTTTTATTAGATTTGCCTTGAAATTCTCTACAAAAACATGTATTTTATTAATGAAGATAACCGCCGTTAATTTTTTTTAACCGGTGCAATCGCTTCGTCCAACTTTCACAACTTTGTAAAACTATTTCTGGCCTAATTTTTTTAACAGCACGTTTTAATTCTTCAATTAAACTTTGTTTTGATCGAGCAACACTCCAATTAATTTGTT